ACAAGCCCAGAAAGAGATTTGTGTATTTTATTGTATGCCCATCTCAATAAATTAAAAAAAAATTAAAAATAGAGCGCAACATTTCCTGCAGAGGGCAGGGAGCTGCTCCAGTTGAGGCTGGGGGCCCAAGCATGGGGCCATCCTCAAACTTCTTGCCTCAGCAGGGAGCCCAGACTAGGGGTGGAAGGAGTTCTGAGGGTACGCCATGTCTCCTCAGTGACAGTACTTCTGGGACCAGGCCCATCCCAGGATGTGAGGCCAGCTGCCTTATCCCCATCTCCCAGCCCAGCTGCCCTCACCTCATCATGTGGATGGCCTCAGGGTCACTGGCAAAGCTGAAGGCATAGCCACTGGATGTGGTGCCGAAGTCGATGGCCACGACCACGGAGAAGGGGGCCTGCTGAGGGGCTCGGGCCTCAGGCTTCTGCAAGTACAAGACCTAGAATCAGGGAGCAGCCCAAGGGCTAGGCTATCTGCACATGGGAGCCCTGCCCCTCCCGTGGCTGTGGTCCAGACCAGCCCTAGTCCACCACCACCTACCTGCCTGCCTGGGTTCCACTCCCTGCCCAGGCTCCAGGCTGAGCCCTGGAGATGCCAACTGCCTCTCAGATAGTCTGTGCAGCTTTTGGCTCAAGTTCCTGCTTTCCTGCTTCTGGGTCTCTGCCCACTTCTGTCTGCACTGCCTTTGCCCCACCCCCATCTCACACCATTTCACAGCCTGAGCCAGCTGGGAGCAATTACGTGCCTCCTGGCAGCTTCACAGCACATGGACCTGTGTATGTCTGACCCTCTTGATCTTCGTGGCCACAGCAACACAACCAGACTGTTAGTTTTGTGGCAGAGAAGAGAGTCCCTACCTTCTCCCAGACCAGGCCTGCGCTCCCTGAGAACAAAGGGGTCACTAGGCTGAATCTGAATCACTAGAGTGAGGCCATCCGGGGTGGGGTGACCCAGGGAAATTAGGGGAGGGTTATGTCCAAGATACTTCAAGCTAGTAATTTCCAAACTATTTTTTAGCAACATGTCTCCACTTTCCCAGATATAACTTGTATTCAGGTGGGGCTGTGGTTGACAGGCGAGGGAGCAACTGTAGGAGGCCCAGTACTCTGAGGACCCTGAAAAACTATATGCTCAGAAATATACCTGCCCCAGGCAGGCTAGCTACAATGGCTCCTGGGCGTCATCCTGGAGGAGGGGTGTTTGGGAGTTAGTACATGGAGCTTACCTCAGTAGAACTGTTACCCCTGTGGTCCAAGGTCACCTAAGGTTAACCCTTCTGTGGGGGGACATGGCTGGGGTGTGCAGGGACAGGAGGCAGGGTGTCACTCCCAGCTCAGGTCAGGCCCTGCCAGGGCTCTACCAGACACCAGGCCTTGTTCACTGAAACACCACCCCCTCCATACTACCTAGGCCACCCACCACCCAGATCCCCACTCTGGGCTTACTGGAGACTGCGAGGGTGTGAGAGGCGCAATGCCACAGCTTTCCTGGGTCCTTGGGGAGCCGGGTGGGCTGGGAATGGGGGACCGCTCTGGGCTGGAGCCTACAAAGACAAGGCAAATCATTGTGGCACAATCAGGGTAGGGGGCTGGTGGCTGGACCCCAGGCCTGGGGGGGCTCTCCCATCAGTCCTTGGGGGGTCAAATCAAGGGGTGCCCTGCTGGGGAAGGGAGGAAGGACGTGACTGAGGCAGGGACAACTGAGGCAGGGCCTTTTATCAGTTAGAGGCAACCATCTTTGGAGGATGACCTATGCCTCACCTGGGGACTCCTTGTCTGTCTCTCACAGCACCTCTCAAACAGAGCAGGGGAGGGAGAGACAGAAGTGTTGTGGGGGTCAGGGAGACTGAATCCAGAGATAGAAGGGCAGGACAAATGGGGCAGGTACGCTCCTGGGGTGGGGTGGAGGGTGGAGAAACCAGAAAAGGTGTGGGGACTACAGACCTAACTGCTCCCCTCCCCCTAGAGTTCGGCCACATGGTTCTAATCAGAACCTGAGAACTAGCCTCTCTCCCTCCCCACCAAGGTCCAAGGACAGGCCCAGCAGGCTGCCTGGTGAGGATCAAGGTGGAGCAGCACCTCCCCCAGCCTAGCCCTGAGCCGAGGGGTGCCCACAACACTAGGAAGTCGGATCCCAAGACTCCCCGACCCCCTCCCCGCCAACACACATACATCCGGAGCCGCACTGGCGGGGCAGGAGGCCCAACTGAGACCCTCTCACAGGCCCAGGACTGAGCTGGAGCTTTAGTGAGAGTAAGCAGTGCAGCTCCTAGAAAGTAGCCTAAAGCCTGGTTTGGAGACTAAGGCAGCTCAGGGGCCTGCCTGGCTAGCTGTCCCCCAGGTGTGGGCTGGTGGCCTGTCACCACCACACTAGGTTTTGCTAAGGCCCCTGTGAGGGAGACTGGGGCTACGCTGAGATTCATGGATGGGGACTGGGAGGCTGATGGGGTCTGGTGTGAACACCCAGAGACAAAGCAAACTGGTCTGTCTGGCTTCAGGCTGAGCCAGGGTTAGAGCCTATGCTCCCTCAGTGTCTGCCCTGCCCTGTGGCCCTCACAGGTTCCAGCCCTTCCTGGCCTTGGGGTCACATGTGAGGGCCCAGGCAGAAGGGAGACTCTAGAAAGTGCCTGGACAGGGCTGGAGTCCGTCTTGAGGGGCTGGAGGGGCAGGGACACCCCCAGGGCTCCCTTTTCTCAGGCAACCTGTGTGGACTTGGGCCCTGCCACCAGCTCCAAGCTGCTGTGGCTTGAGCCTGGGAAGGGAGGCAGGAAGGAAGGCCCGGCCCGCCAGGTCTTTGTGAGTGGACTTCCTGAGGAGTGTCCCTCCTGCCTCCTGGCCTCCCACCCCTGTAGAGAACCCAGAGCCTGCCTCCAGAGCAGGCCACAGGCAGATGCGCACGCACACACACAGAGAATTCTGTGCACACAGACCCACCGACGGACATACACACTCTCACATAAGGCCCTGTGCACAGACCTGCCCCTAGGCAAACAGACACAGACACACACAGTCACACTAGGTCCTGTGCACACAGACCTGCTCTGCACACACACACTAATAGACATGCAGGGTCTCGTGAACAGATGTGCTCTGTATGCACATGCGCACATACACTCACATGCACAGTCCTGTGTGCACCAACCCTCCTTGCACACGTGTGCATGCGTGCGCGCGCGCGTGCACACACACACACACACACACACACACACACACAGGAACCTCTTCTGGGAAAGGTACCCGTGGACAGCCTGCGGGTGAATCTCAGTGCTGGGGCAAGTGGAGTGATGGGTCGGCGCCAAGATGAGGGGGTCTTACCGATGTACAGTCCCTGCAGGCCCAGCTCTGGGACAGCCAGCATCTTTGCAGGCCCTGTGACTGTGAACAGGAACAGACAAACAGAATGGCATTTATTTGTGTTTTTTTTGTTCCCTCATTGAATGCTTATTTATTTTATTTATTTACTTTTGGCTGGAGTGCTTTGAAGCAAATCTTAGACATTATGTTATTTCACCTATAAATTCTTTAATGTCTCTCCAACAGATAAAGACTTTGAGGAATTACTATTAATTTTGTTACACGTGATAATGGTGTTGTGGCATGTCTTTTTTTTTTTTTAAATCTCATCTAATGCTCAGTCGCACAGTTCCAGCTTGTCTCAAAAAGGTATTTTTAACAGTTGCTTTGTTGGATGCTCCTACATGTTTTCACTGCCCACTCTGTGCCGGATACTGGGGGTCATCAGAGACCCAGAGAGACACTGGCCCTGCCCGTGGGCCCACAGCCTGGTGGGAAAGCTGATTATAACCAGATAATCACCCAAGTGAGTTAGATATTCTAAACCATGCTTTCAAGGTCACAGATGGATACGAGTGGGGCAGAAAGGGGAGCAGGGTAAGGCTACCGAGAGGGGCTGGGCTGGCCTGACCCTGCAGGCAAGTCCCCATGGGCTCTATTTTAGATTTGGTTTTACATGAAGGACAGACAACTGCAAATCTTGAAAGGTTTGAAGTGGCAGAGTGGAGGGGGGGGCATGACGAAATTTTCGTTTTAGAAAGTCCCTCTGGGGCGGGCCAAGTGGCTCAGTTGGTTAAGCGCGTGAGCTCTGAGCAACGGGGTCACTGGATCTATTCCCACATGAGCCAGTGAGCTGCGCCCAAGCTGAGCTGCCACTGAGCTGCCAACAGGTGGCAGGATGGCTCAGTTGGTGAGAGCACGTGCTCCTAACAACAAGGTTGCCAGTTGAATTCCCCCATGGGATGGTGGGCTATACCCACCCGCAACTAAGATTGAACACGGCACCTTGAGCTGAGTGACCGTGAGCTGCCGACGGGCGGCCAGATGGCGACTGGACTTGGAGCTGAGCTAGCTGCGCCCTCCACAGCTAAGATTGAAGGACAAACAACTAGGCTGTTCCCCTCCCCCAATTAAAAAAAAATCTTTAAAAAAAAGTCCCTGCATGGGCTGCATGGGGGTGTGGATTAGAGTGGGACAACACGGAAGCAGAGCCCAATGGCTGTGTGTCTTAAGACTTACGTTAGAGGTTAAAACCAACAGGGCTGATGGTGGATGACTGGATTGGCTATGGGGGATTAGGAAGAAGAAGAAGGCGTCAAGGGTGACATTATCTGATTCAGGCGAGGAGATGGACGGTGAGATGGAGAATACTGGAGAAGGGCAGGCTGGCAGGGGGAAAGAGGCAATGTTTTTGGTGCAGTTCTGCAACTGCTGAAAGGACAGACCAAGGAGCCAGGGGATATATGATCTCAGGGAGAAACTGAGGTGGAGATGTGTGTTTGTCATTGGAGGCTTGGCAGAGAATAGAATGGGAGAAGGGAAGAAAGGAGAACCTGCACACAAATGTGGATTAGCGGACAGTGGGCTGGCTGAGGAGATGGGGATGCCTGCTATGGTTTCATGAAGATCTTGGTAAGAGAAAGGCATGAGGCTAAATGCCTTTAGAGGTTGTTAGATGAGACTGGGAACACCCGTTTGAATGGCTCAGGAATGCATTTTTGTGGAATGATGGAAATGGGGTGGGAGGCAGGTAAGCCTAGGTGAGGAGAATCAGAGGGTAAGAGAGTGGGGCTAGCACTTCCAGGAAGGTGGCTGAGATCAGGAGCTGATATGCAGGCAATTGCTGAAGGAACTTAAAGCTTGAGGGGGGAAGGAAGGGTTTTTATTTTCTTTTCAAAGATGGGAGGAACTTGAACTTGTGTTGGTGAGGTTCTGCGGCCCAGGCTAGAGGCACAGTCCTCCAGGTCATCAACAGCTCCGTGACTCAGTGTGGTCTCAGGACAGCAGCACTGGATCCTCTGGGAGCTTATTAGAAATGCAGAACCTCAAGCCCTGCCTCAGACCTGCTGAGTCAGAATTTGCATTTTAACAAGATCCCAAGTGGTTTGGTGCACATTTAAGTTTGAGAAGTGTGCTCAACTGTCCTTGGACCAGTCTTCAGATCACCAATGCCACTGCCCTTAGTGGGTCTGGCAGTCCCTCTAAACAAAAGTGGGGGCTGCTCATAGCCTACTCCCTCTCTGTAGCCAGTGGCCTGATCAGGAAGTTTTGCTAACAGAACACAGGCAGACACAGCTGGGCACTGTCACACCCATGCACACACCCTTGCTCACTCACAGTTCACACAACCCAGTCCCGTCATGCACAGACACCCAGACATATCCAGGTCCACAGAGATTTCCGACACACTCAATCCTGTTGTCATCGGAGATACACAATTGGATGCCCAGGAATCAGAATCAGGGGAAGATAGGGGCAGGTCGTTGGCACTCATAGAGCAGCTGGGTGACATTGAGAAACGGAAAAGCAAATGGGGGGGTGGGTATGGGCCTTGGGAGCCAGGAACAGGGGCCCAGCTCAGGGTGTGCCGGAACCAGCTGGCAAGAGCTGATTCTGTGCATCTCTTCCCAATTCTGAACTCACTGACATCACGTTGGTAGCTTTAAATCAGCCATGGTGGGAACATTTATACCACAGAAATTGGCAAACACTATGAAATGGGGTTTTGTCCCTCTGGAAGAGTTGACAGGAAAATATTTACCAGCACACACTGGATCAAGGCCACAAGGGAGAGGCTGGCAGCCCTGTTTGTACATTGTTTCAATTCTTCAGCAAAAACTTATTGAGCATTTCTTTATGCAGGGATTCTGAGGTAAGTGCTGGGGAAACACTGTTGAAGGAATGAATGGATTTTCTGGACCAAGACTATTACAGCTGGAGGAGAAACAATCTAGAACCACCAGGAAAAGAGTCAGGAGTCATCCACTCTAAGCTGGATTCCACATCCAAACTGTGTGCCTATAATCTCCCTAGCTGTCTGAAGCTGTCCAGTTACCTCCCATCTCTAAGTGGGTGATTCACTGAGTGCCCTACTACACTGGGGTCTCAGGGTCGGCAAGGACCTGTTATGGCACCTGGCTGGAATGCATCCTGTTGCCTGTCTTTGCCTTTCCTGCAAAATGGGTTACACAGGGGGCTTGTGAGGATCAAGTCCAGGTTAAAAAAAGGTTGTTGATAAATGCAGGGAGTTGGACAGATGTGTGCAGTATTCTTACCCTTAGTGTTGTGGATTCTGAATTTTCTCTCATTAGAAAATTTTGGTCTTATTGAGAGTTTTATTCTAGTCATTCTGCATTCTTTGGGGAGGGCAGGAGGACCAGAATAAATTTGTGTTAAAGGAGGATCCTGCTGATTCCTTAATAGGTGGAGGTAGAAGGGGGTGGGGGCAGCCCCATCTGTCTTCGGCACATCCTTCACCATCCACACACACCCAGAAACATTTAAGGAGAGTGCTGACCATGTGGCTCAGGACAACCTCAGCTCCCAAAAATTATGTCTTTGGCAGAGTCCACGGCTGGAAACGGGATGAGACAGATCCTGCCCCAGGGGCCCACTCATTTAAGGCTGCTAATGCTTATGGGTTTGAGAATAATTGGGTGGGGTAGTTTGATTTACACAGAAAGTAACTTCATTTCCTGGTTACAAGCTCAGGCTAAACTCTGGCCCCAGACTGACCCTTACCCTACCCATAGACAGAGCCTTACTTAACCCTGCCCATGGACTGACCCCTGTCTTTGTCCATGGACTGGGGATTCCTAGCCCTTGACCTTACATCAACCTCTAATCTTCAGTTTCACCCTGACTCCTGGAACTGACTTCTATCCAACAGGCATGAACTATATCAGTCATTGGGGACCAGGACAGGGTGTGGCTGAGTACGGACTCTAAATCGGAGACTCCCATCCCAGAGTGCCCCCAGACTCAAAAGCCTAGGACTTCTTGCCTGATGGAGAGAATTCTCTGAAGGTCTTTTCCTGGGTTGGGGTTGTTAAAGCTGGATACTTATGCACCCCCCACCTGACCCCCAGTGCGTACTGGGGACAAGTGGTGTTGCTGGATTTCAGGGCTCCACACATACCTGTCCTCTGCCTGTGAGGACAAAGAACCCACCCAGATTTTGCCCCATAGGCTTCCTTACACTGGGACCCAGCCTCTCCCACCCACTGCTCAGCATCCTGCTAGCCCTTTAACAGAGCAGGACTCTATCAGCAGGCAAAGAGAGGCCACAGGCATTTCTTCTAAGCCAGATATTGAGCCAACCAGGGCTCAAGGGACAGATCAGAAACCCCAAAGGGCTGCTTCAGTCTGTCCCTGGAGAGAAGTCCCCTAGGGGAGGGACTAGTGGGAGGCTATAGGGTGGGGAGGCTGCCTCCTCCTGTGCTAGGGCAGGGGTGACAGAAATGGCCTCCTGGGGCCCCTCCTGTCCTTAACTTCTCTTTCCATACATCCTGCCCCACCCCGGTGGGTCCTCATCATGGGAGCAGCTAGTTCACAAACAACCTCTGTCCCACACAGCCCAGGCCCTGAAGCCCCTCCCATCCTCTGCACACTGGTTCCCCATCACCTCCCTACTTTCTGGAGCTCCAGGGCTGCCTTTGCTCTCATAAGAAGTCCATAGTTTAGAGCTTACTCCTTCCCAGTCTTTCTTCCCACATAAGCTTGCTTCACAGACAGGTTCCACAGCCCTACAGGGAGCTCAGACTCCACCTCACCTGGACCCCCAAGCTGGCTTTACAGAGAGAAACCAGAGTTCCTAGTCACAGGCCAGTCCACAGTCTGCAACTGTGGCCCCCTGGCCCCCCAATTACTCTAGAACTTCCAGGACCACAGGCCCTGGGATTCCCACCCAAGACGTCCCCCAAACACACACACACACTTAATCCTTAGGTACCCTGTCCTCCACAAACTGGCCCCCTGGAGCAGCTCCCAGGCCCACACCAGCCCCACCATCCTGCCATCCCACGGCACAGGAGTCTATCCAGCACCCCTACCCTCCGCAAAGCGTGTGTGGGGTCCCAAAGCCCGGATGGGAGCCCATAGTCGCTGCCCCAATTTCGTTTCTGAACCCGCAGCCCCCACAGGAGAGAGGGGCTTGCAAATCTGTCCCTAACCTGGCCCCCCAGCCTCAGGAAGTTTGTGGTGGAGTCTCAGCCGACAGCCCAGTACTCAGGACTGGATGGCTAACCTCGGCGCTTTTCTCCTCCCTGGGAGCCCAGCAGCCCCTCGCCCCAGAACTCACCTCAGCCCTCCCGACAGCGCGACCTCTGTCCGGTCACCTCGATCGCGGCCCGCAGCCAGTGGCCGTGCCCTGAGCGGCGGCCGCAGCCCTCGACGTGCGCCCAGCCCCGCGCTGCGCGCCCGCCGCCCCGCACCGCCCACCCAACCCGCCGCCCCCTCCCCCAGGCCGGATGGCCGCGCCGGCTGCGCCACCGGGTGGGCCCGCGCTCCCAGCCCAGATGTGCGAGGCCGGGGCGTGGCCTGCCTGCGCGGGGCCTCCACCGAGGGGCCCAGCTTGGCCCAGCGTCCAGGGCCCCTCCCTGCGCCCCTCCTGCGCCTAGCGGCTGGGCAGCCCCAGCTGCGCCTCCCCGCTCCCGAGCAGCTGGGGGGGGGGTGGCTGGGGAGTTGGGGGAGAAGGGTGAGGAGGGGAGGTGGAGGGAGGGGAAGAGGAATTCCAGACCCCTCGTTGGCCTCCTGCGGCTCAGCTGTGGAGGGGCTCCCCCGCCCGCCCCAACAGGCCCATCTCAGGGCTCTGCTTAGACCAGCCCATCTGTGAGAGCCTAGTTGCTGGGGAGGGAGGGCCTGCCCCAGACCCCTCCAGTCCCTAGACCCAGACTACACCCCTGTGATTCCCTAGCTTGGTCTCCAAGAGCCTCCGGCCTAACTCTGTCCTTGAGGAAGTTTGGGGCAGCGAGGGAAGATTTCTCGCAGGCTGGAGCCCCACTCCTGGCAAGGGAATCACTCAGAACTCATCTGCCTTTGCAAGGAGTACCCAGCCCCTTTCCCATTAGGGCTCGCAGCCTTATTCCTGTCCTAACCCAGATCCCCTTGGGGATGCTGGGATGTGGCCTTCAAACAGGGGGTTTGCAAGGGGAAGACCCCCTTCTGCCTGGCCCCTATAAGGCAACTGACTTAGGGTGCCCCCTCACCTCCTGGTTCTGGCAGGGCCTGAGTGGGACCCCTTTCCCTCTGCCCAGTGTGCCCCCACAGAGGTTCAGGCTGGACACCGATGGGATGGGAGCCAAAAGTTGCTTCTCAGCCCTTCTCTCTGTGCTAAGGGAGCTGGCCTCCTGTCTGGTCCCCAACATCCTCCCCAGACAAGACCCCCACAGTTCTTTGAGCACCATAGTTGCTCCACACCCCAAACCTTCGCAGGGGCCATTTTTCTGCCCTGGAGTTGTATGTCTCCTCTGCCCATCTAAAAGTCTCCCCAGCTAAAGGGTCACCTCTCCTAAGCTTGTTGCCCTTATTGTCAGGGCCACTGCCTCAGAGGTCCCCCTGCAAGGAGGTTAGGGGGTGGGGGGGGGTGCTACACCAGGTAATTTTGGGTGTCACTGGTATCCAGTCAGCAGCCTCCACTGGCTGCTTCATGTGTGTGTCCGTATTAGTGTGTGTATCTGCTCGTGTGCCTGTATTTGTGTGTAGGTGTGTTTGTGTGTATGAGTGTGTCTTTGTGTGTCTATGATTGTGCGTATATGTATGTCTGTGTCTCTTGGGATATCTATGTGACTGTGTCTGTGTATATTATTTATATGCGTCGCTGTGTCTTGTGCCTTTGTGTGTGTGTGTGTTTGTATTTGTCCGTGTGAGTGTGACAGGTGTGTGATGGGGGCTGACAGGCCTTCCACTCATTTCAGAGGCTGAGCAAGGAGTGGGAGGACTGAAGTGGGGCTGTGTGTGAGTGTAAGGGGAAGAGGCAAAGGGTCTGGACGCAACCCGCCTCTTGTTTTCCTGTTTTCCATTCACTCCCAGTTTTCTTTCATGCCCATCCCATCTCCCCTCCATCTCTGAGGCGCTGGTAGCAGGCTCTGAGCAGGCGTGAAGACCTGTAGGTGGGGATCCCCAATGTTGGGTGCCCTCCTGCCTCTGCCCACCCCCCATTTCAGGCTCCCTCAGCTCAGTCTGACCCCGGAGTCACAGGCCCCACCCTTGGGCAGCTTCCAGTCTGACACAGAGGACAGCAAATAATCCACGTGAGTACTGTTCCATGTTAGAGGATGTTCGATTCAATTGCCATTGGAAGGTTTGGGCCCAGGTAGGCATGGACCAGTGTCCCGCAGAGTCCCTGCTCTTTACTGTCTTCTCTGTGCCCTTGCACCTTCCTCCTCTGTCCCCTAGCACCACTGTGGACCTACCCATTGACCTCACCGGCTTCCTGCTTCTCCCTGGTCGGGGATCAGCCTCTCTTCAGGCCAGGCTTCCCTCCTCTGGCCTTTTCTCAGGATTTTCTTCTGAGGATGCCCTCACTCCCAGCCCTGCCCCTCCAAATCTATCTCTATGGTGCAACTGGAGGAGACTTTCAAAAGTGTAATCTGGTCCCATCACTTCACCACTCCTATACTCTCCATGGCTCCCCATGACCTACAGTGTGGACTGCCCTGGCTGATGTCGCAAGCTGCCCTTCCCAGCCCTAACCTCCAATCCCATCTCCTGCCCCTCACATCTGCCTTCTGTGCTTCTGACCTTTTGTTCCACCTGGGTGAGCCCCTAGCCCTGACCTGCTCAGAGGCAATAACCTTCTCTTACTTGGGCCCTAGGGGAGAAACTGGCCCTTTGGACCCTGTTGTGGGTGCTATGTCTGCTTAGAGAGCCTCCAGCCCTGGTTACCACCAGGTAGGACTTTTAGGAAGACTCTTTGGGTTTGGAAGGCAGGAGGGGGGCTCCCCTTTGCCCGTGCTCACCTTCTGGCCTGACACGGCAGACCAACAGGCAGCTTTAAGGCCGAGGGTGATGTCATTTCCCCACCTAAGCCTATGGGTGCTGAGGGGCTGTGGAGAGAACTTCTTAGTCTCCCCTCCCCCCTGCCCACACCTGGCTGCTTACTCCTCCCCAGAACTTGGGACACAACGACACACACACACACACACACACACACACACACACACACACACACACGCATGTGTGTGTACCAGGGGGAGGGCAGGTGCCCTCACAGTCTTCCTCGGGAGGGAGGGTAGGGTGGGCTGAGACTTTTCACCAGTCGACCCTTTTGACCGCGCCTCATGGTGTGCTGGTGCCTAATTGGGTACTTTACCCTGTTACTTCTCCTGGGGTGAGGGGAGGACTCTCCACCCTCATTCTACAGAGGAGAAAGCTGAGGATTAGAGAGAACAGGGCACTGCCCAGTTCAGACCCCGTGGGCTGTCTCAGAGTCTGTGTTCTTGCCTGTGCTGCATGTTGCAGGAGGCTGGTGAAGGGAGGGTAGTACCTGGATACTCAGAGGCAGCCCCCCTGGATGGCTGTCCACCTCTGCCTGTCCCTTCCTGGGGACAGGAGGTGGGGGATCCTGAGACAGAGGCTTCTGGAGTGTTCCTCTACCAGATTCCTGAGGTGTGAGCTTCCTTCCAGGAATTACTCAGCCTGTCCCCGCCCCGCTGGACTTCCTCTCTGTGGCTCTCAGCCTCAATCCGCATCATTTTCCTCATTGGAGATGGGAATATGGGAGACCCAGCCCATGACCAGGAGTTTAAGGCTCAGGCTTCGTGGTGCCCTACCTCCACTGGTGCACAGGCCGCTGGTACCTCCTCTTTTGTAAAAAGAAAGCTCTGGGGTCTCACATTTCTGCTGAACCTCCTCAATACCTTGCCCCAAATGACACCCACAACACCAGAATCAACCCGATCTACCGGAACTCTGCACCAACACTGCTCCACTTTGCAGCCCCCTTTCCAGTGTGGTGTTACTCGAGTTCCCAGCAGGGACGTTGGGAAGCCTTCTTAGAGGAGGTGACCCCTCATCTGAGCCCTGAAGGATGACTGAGAGAGTTATCCACGTGGAAAAGCAGGAAGGGCATTCCAGGAGAAGGAAACAGTGCAAACAAAGGCAAAGAGGGTGGATTGGGCAGGAGTCAGAATGGAACTGAGGCTCAGCCGCCAGCTGGATGAGGGGCTGGCTGGGTGTGTTTGTCCCTCGTGTTAAGTACAGACCTATCCTTGTGTTCTACCTCAACAGGCACCCTGGCCCTTTGCTCAGCAGCCCCCAACCCCACTTGCTCCACCTGGGCACTTTGTTTTGGGTCTTTGATCTCGACTCCAGGCCAGCGAGAGTTCAGCTTCATTGCACTGTCCTCTTTCTGCTCACCACTTAGCTTGGGTGACACCTCCCCTTGCCAGCCGCTGCCCCACAGAATTGCCTCTCTGCTAGGGTGTGGGGGGTGCCAAGACTCTGAGGGAAAAGGAAATGTTGGGAGGAAATGATACTTCCATTTTATTCATGTCACATTGGAGATTGTGGGGCTGCTGTGTAGACAATGCTGGCTTCCCCCCTCCCCCCAATATCTATTCTTTTTTTCTTAATAATTAAATCTTCTTTTTTAAACCATGCACATGGCCACCCAGCATACAAAATAGATTTCCCAGCCCTTCTTGCTGCTAAGCATGACCATGTGACTAAGTTCTGGCTAACGCAATGTAAGCAGAAGTGTTATGTGGCATCTTCCAGCTTTTACACATTGCTGTTGGTTGCCTGTTATTTCTTTTCTTTTTTTTTTTTTAAGATTTTTATTGGGGAATTGGGGGGATGGGAACAGTGCTGGGGAATTGGGGGAAGGGGAACAGACAAGTTGCTGTCGTTTTG